GGGGGGGGGGAAGGGAGGGTAGGGGGCACTAATTGCAAAGTTCAAAGTTTTTATCCCAGGATTTCCTCACAGCCAGAGAGGGGCATGACAGCTGAGAGGACCACCAACTACAACCTTGTGAAGCACTTGAACAACTCACATTGACACAATTTCCTGACTAGAAAAAAATAGGAGATATATTATGATGCTCACATGGGTAGTAGGTGTAAATAATAAAAAAGTGACTTGTCCTTTGACTTGCTTTATGTTACTTATGTGAAAGAAATATCTGCATGTTTTTGTTTACAAGCAAACTAAAAATAGAAGACCAGAAGCAAACAAACAAACAAAAAGTAACCACAAACCTTTTCTTCTAACACAGTTATAATCATTGGAGGCACTGCCAATTACTAGCAGAATAAACTATAATTAAAAAATGTAATTGCTCACCAAGGCCTTTGAGAAAGTCTGAGATGCCTTGTGAACTTTTTGTTGCTTAATTAATGAGAGCATTAACCCACTGGGTACTGCTGAAGGGCACACTGGTGCCATGGCAGAAGCTATCAGCCTAACAGTGATAAAATGAAACAAAGCAGCTAATTAAATCAGGAGTGCAACTGGTGGAAAGAGCAACAGTGCATGTAGCCCAATAGTAATGGAAAATGATCACACATACTTGGAACACTGTTGTACTTCTGAATATAATTTTAAATGGTGTGGTTTTCTCCCCATCTTTTGGACTTCTTCCTCATTATAGAAAATTCTTGCTTCATTCGTATTACAACATTGACCTACTACCTGGCTTCAGTTTTACTGCAAAAATGATGCAGGTCTTGGAAGTGATCTGGGACCTGCATCCCAGCCCATACAGGCACTTCACACTAAGGTTTAAGTTCCACAATAGGTCTGCAATAACATAGAAATCACAAAGACCATGTAAAGGCCAACCTGAAAGCAACTTAAAAGTGTAAGGAAGACCTCAGTGGTACTCATACTGAGGGTATTTTGTGACCTCCAAATTCTGGTCAGAAGACACAATGGCAGATGGATTGTTAAAAATTTGTCTCTCAATGTAAGAGGTGGCATCAGTCAAGAGACAGCAAATCTGAAGTACAATCTTATCTCAACTTCAGGTCTCTGGTCAACAATAATGTGTGGGTTTGGGGTTTTTTCCTCCACATGTTTGGCCAATTAGGCCTAAACTCATCAACTAACTCTCCCACTCCCTTCCTGGGGCCTAGGAGATCTCCTGCACATCACTGCATGTTTGGTCACTCTGAGCAACTTGGTGATCACAACAATATGCAGACACCCTGAAAAGCTAATGTGCCAAAGAGAAAAAAACATGTTTTGGTTTGGTTTTATTTTCTGAAACAGCAAATCAATTCTACTAAAATCAAACAACATGAAAGCAATCATGGTCTTTCATAGAAAAAAAAACTCATCCAAATCCAAATCCCAACAGGAGCACAATGCATACAACATATTTGACAGGTAGACTGACTCATCTTTCCTTTCTCCTCCTAGTTTCAGTCTGGTCGTTTCCCTTCCTGCATGTAAACTCCCACCACTTCCACTTATCACTGCAGCCCCCAGGATATCAACTTACTGAAAACACAGACCTTTCTACTGGTTATTAGTAGATTATTCAATCCCTAACAAAATAAAAAAACTTCACTGCAAAGTGAAATGAAGTTGTACCAGCTCAAGAAAAAAAAAATAATACATTTTTTCCTTCAAATAATATAGAGAAATCCAATGCACAGCTCTCTATTTCATTAAAACAGAGAGCAAAAGAGCTCTGTTCATTGACAACATTTAACAAAGAGGAACAGCAATAAACCCAAACTGCTCTTTGCCAAGCTTCCAATATTGTTAATAAAACCTTTTGAATTATTTACTGTACATTTGTTTTTCATAAATACACTTGTTTTACTTCTAGGTTTGTTGATACAATTGCATAATGCAGTAAAACATTTTTAAACCTAACAGATATTAATGCTTTTCTCATTGAGAGGGAGCTTCAGATCCTACTAGTGCCTTCTGCAATATTCCAGGCATCCTGAGGAACAGTGTGCTTGTCTTCTTGTCCCTTAAGGGAAAGGAAGAACAGCTCACAGGCTAAAAACTGAAGCGTCTGCTGTATTTTTCCAGCGTGACACAAATGGGAGGGATTTTAAAACAACTGAAAGTACCAAGTTTTCAAAGGAGAAGAGAAAGAACACGAGACAGAAGAGAGAAGAGAACAAAAAGGCCAAGGATTCTGACCTCGTTCACTGCCACGTGGTATCGCTGCTGCTGGAACTGAGGTGAGTTGTCGTTCCTGTCCCTCACCACGATCCGCACCTCATGGTTGATGATAGTGCCAACCTTCTTGTTAACACACTGCACCTGCACCACGATGGACTGAATGGACATCGGTGGCTGCAAGAGAAAAGCCATTTTTTATAGTGCCTAATCAAAATCTGTTAAATTTCCCACTCGTGTCGACATTGCTCAGGTTCCCTTACAGCCCATCAGCTGCCTCTGCTATGTTTAATGCTTTATGTCTGGAATAAAAAGCTTTTTCTGAGAGTGTCCTGACTACTGGTCATGTTCTAAGTATACCTGCATGTCTCAAGGATGTATTTTGCAGACTGAGCTTTGCCAGCTGAATGTGCTAATACAGGAATAAAAAGCTTCAGCACATCAACCTTTCACACTTCCCTCAAGAACAGCAGGGACAAAAAAAAGCATCTTTTGAACACTTTCTGATTAGTGAAGGATACCTAGAAAATGTCACACATTTTAACCTTTGGTTTATTACTAGAGGAACTGAAAGGTCAAGTCAGATATAAATTCAATATGCTACCACTTACATTTGCCAAGTAATTTAGAAACAGCTTGGTCACCTTTAGGCATAGACAATCCAGAGTCCTGTTGTTTTTACTCCAGTGAACATCAGAACATTGAAAGAAAAATTACTCCCAAACTTGATGAATGGATAAAGAAATTCAAGCTAGAATACTATGGCTTACCTGAGTTAATAAAACAATTCTAAGAAGAATAAAGGACAGGGCCCTTTTGGTTGAAATGGAAATTCATAGACACTGCCTTGGAAACACAGCATTCCAGCATGACTTCTACTCACAGTGATCCCACCACAACAGGGGCCTATTTGCATATCTGAAGCAACAGGCTGGCATGGAAGATATTGACAGCAAATCCATTCCCATTTTCTATCTAACACTCAGCAGAGAGTGACCAAGCATGGGAAAGGACAAAATTAAAACATTCTGCATTTATTAACCTCAAGTTCTTCAAGAAAATAACCAATTAAAGAATGCAATATAAAGATGCCTAGGCCAAACTCTTCTGTCCAGTGAGTGCAAACAGGTTGTTGCCCTGAGATTCTGAGTCTTACAATGATACCATCATTACACCTCTATGTAATTAATTATGCCTTCAGTCCTTCCAAATGCTACAATTTCTTTGATTGATTCATTTTTTGCAGTTTTGCCATAATGGATTTTAGAAGTGTGTGGATATCTATACCATTCAGACTTTGGCATTAATGAGTTTTGCAAGAGTCAGCAGACTTGGGGAAAGAAGAGGG